CACAAAAGGCCATTTATTATGTTATCTCATTACCAAATGTTCACAAAAGGAACATCCATGGGGGGGGTACCAGTTTTGCCAGTTGCTTGTGGGAGAGAAAAATAGAGTCATTACTAATAGGTACAGGTACACAGTTAGATGTTTTAAGAATAGATAGTGATAATGATTAAAGCCCTGAAAATATACTGATGTCACTTAAAAGGACAAAATTTATGAAATTGTAAATTTTTTAAATGAAGGAAAATTTCAGAACTACAGGAAACTCTGAATATCCAAAGCAATCTTGAATAGCAAGAACACAGGTGGAAGCATCACACTACCTAATTTTAAAGTATACTTAAAAACTATAGTAAACAAAATAGCATGGTAGTGGTATAAAAACAGAAACATAGATCAATGAAAGAGGACAGACAGACCAGAAATGAATCCACTAATTTAAAGGCAACTGATATTAAGAACACATAATTAAGCAAAGGAAAATTTCTTCAATAGGTGATATTGGAGAAAATGCATATCTATACGCCGAAGAATGAAACTGAACCCTTATTTCACTGCATATATAGAAATTAATTCAAAATGGACTAGAAACTTAGTACACATTTAGGTGATCAGAGCAATTAAGTCATTAATGTAAATAATTACAATTTAGCAATTATGGTTCATTGTGTTTAATAAAATGCTCAGAATGTTAAGAAAAATGGAAAAAAAAAAAAAAACCCAAACTTTAGAACCATTAGAAGAAAACATCTGGAAAAATATTGACACTTTTCTGGGCAATGCTTTTTATACATGATTCAAAAAATGCAAGGCAACAAAAGCAAGGATAAATAAGTGGGTTGCAGCCAACTAAAAAGCTGTACAATGGAAATTAAGGACATGACAAGGCAACTCAGGGAATGTGAGGAAATATCTGAAAATCACATATCTATTAAACAGTTAATATTCAAAATATATAAGGAGCTCATTCAAATAAATAGCATAGAATAACACATGAGTAAAAAAATGGGTGAGGGACCTGAATAGACATTTCTCAAAGAATGTGAAAATATGAAAAAAATGTTCAGTATCACTAGTCATTAGAAAAGCGCAAAACTACAATGATATTTCTACTTATGTTAGTTAAAGTCCAAAGATAACAAATGATAGCAAAAATGTGGAGGAAAGGAAACACTTAATCACTGTTGGTAAGAATATAAATTGGTATGGTGATCACTGAAAATTCCTCAGAAAATTAGAAAAAGAACTGCTGTACACTTCAGCAACACAGGGAAGATGTATCCAAGGGAAATTGGTACATATCCAAGCTAGATACGTGAGGGAAATGAAATTTGTGTGTGAAAGAGACCTCTGAATTCCCAGGTTCACTGCAGCGTGATTCGTAATAGTCAACCTAAGTTGGAATTAAGCTAAGTGTTCGTCAATGGATGACTAGATAAAAGCTCACATGTGTGCAAATACACACATACAAATATAGAGGAATATTATTTAACCCTGCAACGAAGGAAATTCTGTCATTTGTGAAAACATGGAAGACATTATGGTAAGTAAAATAAGCTAGGTACAGAATGACAATATCTCATGATCTTGCTTATGTATGAAATCTACAAAACTGAAACTTACAGAAACAGAAAGCAGAACTGAAATTTATAGAAACAGAACAGCAATAAGGAAAGGCAGGGTGAGTTGGGGAAACAGAAAAATGCTGATCAAAGGGTATTAAGTTTCTGTAATACCAGAACCCCTATCCAGAATTATTAACTACTAGAGATTTAATGAACAGCATGGTGAATATACTTAATAGTTATGTATTATATAGTTAAAATCTGCCAAGAGAGTAAATCTTAAATGTTTTTACCATCTCCAGAAAAGTAGTAACCCGTGAAAAGATGGATGAGTTAATTAGTTGATTAAGGTAATCATTTTACAAGGCATATGTATAGCAAGACATCACCTTAAATATATACAATTTTTATTTGTTAATTGTACCTCAAAGGTAGAATGAAAAAAACTCTGCAGAGAAAATCCAGTGACACACAGAGCACTGCCTTTAGCGCGCTCTCCAGAAGACAGTGCTATGAGGGCAACAGTGAGCTTGAAGACAGGTAAATAGAAACTACCCCAAGTGGAAAATAACAAAAAGCATAAAAAATATCTTTCAAAAATCCAAGAAAAAAATGAAGGCTTTTTTTAGACCAACTAAATTGAAAATCATTCCCTGCAAAATTGTACTAAGTAAAAATGTACAGTTTTCATGCAGAAGGAAGATATTATTTGACAGAAACTTGTATCTACACAAAAATCAAAGAGCATTGGAAGTTATATAAATTAAGGTAAATATAATTTTTTTTACTCATTTGTACATTCTCTAGGCCACAGTTGTGTGAGCTGGGGCCTGGGAAAATGGAGTAAGTCTACACCTTCTTTCTCTCCAACTAAATGAAAATATATATTAAAAAAAAAAGGAATGCACTTGAACAACTACAAGAATGCTGAAAATTTAATAAGAGCAGTTAGAATCGGGAAGAATAGAATTTAAATTGCTATGTATCTTCCACTAACCCCTCCTGGTTTGAATGTAAAAATGCACCATGAAGTCTGGAATGGGCACTTAAATAAAGGCAGAGGGGAATCCAGGAGCAGCACACAGAATAGGAGAAGGAATTCGTGATGCCCAGAGAATGTACAGATTTCAATTATCTTTTTCTCTACCATCTGTTCTCTTATTTCACAGGTTGCAAAAAATACTGTGGTGACCGAAGCAGAAGCCACAAGAGAAGACGGCTTGAATCACATCTCTAATGAGGGGAATCTTTCTCTAATCAAAGAGTTCCAAGACCCTCTCTCCTTCTACCATTTGACTCCAGATGTATTTGCAGCTACAAAAGTTTGTGACAGAACAGGTTATATAAAACCCCATTTTCCTGGCTGTTGGACCAAACAGAGGAGCACCAGGAAGTCAGAAAGTACCACAAAGGGACAAGCTCAGAAAAACCACCAAGAAATTTACTTAATTCCTGGGCTCATCCCACTGAGTTGTACACACAGGAATTTGATCATGATCAGCATACAAAAAGCTTTGAGATTGGAATTAACAGGTAAACTACAGCTTAGGTCCCAGAAAGAAAACACACACACACACACACACACACACACACACACACACACAGAGAGAGAGAGAGAGAGAGAGAGAGAGAGAGAGAGAGAGTACCTGCAAAGATACTGCAAAGTCTAGCTGACATTGGAACCACAGGTACAGAGGATGGGATAGAACTTGTAACCTGAACATAAATCAGGTCAGTTGCCTGCTAAAAATATCCAGATAATTATAGGATTTACAAAAGACTCCAAGTCTCATTCAAAATGCTTCAAATACAAACCAAAATTATACTGCATATAAAGATCTCGAAAAATCTCACAAGAGAAATCAACAGATACCAATATGAAGATGACCTAGGTTTTCAATTCTCAATAAAGACTTTAAAGTAGCTATTATTACAGATACTAAGATACGAAGAACAAAAAATGACAGTTGAAGAACTAAGATACATAATAGCAGAAAACCTATGGAATTAGATCAATAGAATTCAATCAGAGAAGAAATAGGTGGAAGCTAGATCAGTAGAAATAATCCAATCTGAACAAGTTGGAAGCAATTTCACTTAATTCTTCACAACTACCTAGAAACTAAACACTAATCCCATTTCCTTTTCACAAATAAAGACACTGAGGCTCAAAAAATTTAAGTAGGAAAGGGTATGGACTCCAGGGTCCCCCAAGGCTGAACCCTCATGGCCACTAACGCTGTTTGTAGCCCACCTAAAAACACTCGAAAGAATGTTCCTGTGTTCTTTAATGAGGTGACGTTCCGACCGTCCTTACAAATCTTAGTTAACATGGAAACACAGCAATTCCTTCCTCATAAGACTGCCTATGGTTTTTGTCTGAACCAAAGAGTAACACTGAGTTTGTGTTCAGGGCTCTTCATAATTGTTCACATTTTTGTTCATTGTCAGCAAGCAAGTTGCTAAGTACTTTGCTTAAGACTAAAGTTTCTTTTCAGTAGGAATTTTGATCAGCAGAGGAGTGTCTCAGATATTGTGATAATACGACTTTAAGACACATGACCTGGGCTTCTAAAAGAAAATATAGTTTAAAGGGAAAACCAATAAAACACACACACACATACACATGCACAAGCACAGGCATATATACACACACTCACACACTGAAAACATGAAAACTTCCCTCTGACTATTTTGAACTTCTAGACCCTTGTAAAAATCTACTTCCTTTCCCCAGTCATTTTTTGAAGCACCCAGTCATGTGACCTCCTTAGAGCATCCATCAATTTTTTTCATTACTCTGGTCAATTTGATGATGTATAACACTGTCCAAGCAGTGCACCTCACACCGTCTCCTGTGGCCGAGTGAGATGGTGACCTCTGGGACCTCCCCTTTGCTAGTGCCACCAGCAGTCTGTGCAGAGGTGGGGGCTGCTCTTCTTCTGCCTCCGCTGTACCACAGGCTCACATGGGGGTCAAATGTTGCCTGTGCTCAAAGCCTCACAGAATTTTTGGTACCAGCGACTCTCTTCCTTCTGATTCACAGGACTGAGGTGTAGGTTTAGGCGCAGTCCTTAGGGCTTCTCCAAGTCAGACATTTCGTTACCATCTCCTTCCCTTTCTTAGCTGCCCTCTGCCAATGGAACATTACTTTTTGTTCCTGTTATCTGTCTACCCCACAGTTTCATAATCATTTGACGTAAAGATTATGCCTTATTCAGAAGCAATCACTACATTAGTGCAAAAATTCTGATGCTTTCTTCAGCTTCTAAACCCCAGAAGGATAGGGGCATCCTTGGCTGGTTCTTGCTGTGTGCAGGAGAAGGGACACAATGCACCGTTTGGATGGGTTAGTCATCGTCTCCTTAACATATTCCTCTACTAAAAAGACAGTGTACTGCGGACATTACCCATCAAGCCTTCCCCAGAGGAGCTTACCATGGAGACCTCTGTCTTCCCGGGGCACTGAGGCCTGGCTCCTTCCTTGGTCACAGTCCTCACACCAGTAGCTCTTTGTTCCATGGCTGGTAGGAGGACAGACTAACAAGGCCTGCACTCCTCTTTCGGACTCCATGACTGTGCCAACAGCCTAACTTTCACGTAGCTCTGGCAGGGCAGAATCCAAGCACAACTGTGATCAGGACAATGACTCATTTCTTACAGGAGAAGCCGTGTTCCAACCCTAATGCTCAGACCAAGTATTATCAAGATTGTTTAGGCTTTTCCAACATCATGAATTCGGTTCATTGTAGCAATCCTTCTAGAACCAAGCTGACAAACCCTTGTTCCCTCATTTCGTTGCAGAGCCCTGTATCTTTAAGCATGTCCTGGAATTTTGCTCTCAGACTCTCTCCTAATTCTCTGCACTTGCAGGGGTCACTCTGACTTTGAACCCTTGTCTGTATCCTGATCAGACCTCTCTTTCTCGCATGGGTCATTCCAACCTTAATATCTCATGTAGGCCCGCTTCAATTTCACTTTCCCAAATGAATTGCCGTGATTTGAAATATATGTGTATGTTTAGCTTCCTCTACACAATTACCTCTTCAGTGCCTCTCTCTTCATGCTTCCCTGGGCCTATTACTCATCCTCCTACTCTGTCCTGGCAGCAGCCCTACGAGCTCTATTTCCTCTGCCTTGCAAACCCAGTTTAGAATATCTCAATGGCTTTGAAAAAATATTCCCTCTGCACGGCTTACTCTCTATTTTCATTCTGCCTCTGTTAGGGTTTGGGGAATATTGCAAGGGAACAATATAATACACATATTTTATACACATATATGGACACATATTTTATAAGATTATTTATAATAGTCACTCAAAGAATGATATGCAAGAGAGTGCAGGAAGTCTGTCACACAATACAGACCAAGGAGTCCAGATGAGGGCCTGGAACCCACGGGAATGTCTTGCATGAGTCCAGCTGAATACCTTGAGCCCATGAATCCAGCTGGAGGCCTAGAGCTCATAACAATGTCTCATGCATGTTTGTTTCATGGATCTGAGTTGGAAAGGCCCAAAGGTCAGTGGTAGAATCTAGGAAGTCTGTGCCAGCAGGATGAAGGATCTGTGCTAGCAGGATAAGGGATCTGCACTGGAGCCAGGAGAGAGCAACGTGCAAAGTGAGAACCAGAGCTCCCCTGAGAAGTACCACAGCCATGCTCAGCAACAGTGAGGTCTTGAGCTCCTCCAGTGGTGACGACAGCTGAGTTCCCATCAGGAAAGCCAACATGACAAGCTTTTCCAGGAGACTGGCAGTGCACCATCTTCCCCTCCAGAGCCAGGAAGTGATGCTCAGAGTGAAGGCCCAAGCTCCCTCAAAGTGAACCAAAGCTATATTATCAGTGCCAACAAGGTCCCAAGCCCCTCTGAGAGTGAAAACAGCAAAGTTCATCAGGAAAGCCAGCATGACAAGCTCTTCCAACTGAACCAAAATCTCCTCACAGCTTCTACCAGCTCCCAACAGCCTTTCTCTGCTCCCAACAGCCTAACTGCTTCTGCAGTTCTGCCTCTTATGCTGCTGGCAACAATCCCCAGGTGTACCTCCTACACCCAGCACCATACTTACTCAGTTCAGCTGGGGTTTATAAATTGACCACCAGTTGTCAATCCACCACAGTCTCTTTAGACTTCCAGTTGCCCGTCAGAGAAGGTAAATAAGCTCACCTTTATCATACGTGCTGCTGTCCAATGTTCTCATTTTGTATTCTTACTGTTTTACAAAGATTATTTGGGGAGGTGAGGCTCAGTGAAAGAGGTTTAATGCCATACCCATACCAAGGTTGTATGACTGGTGAGGAACAGAATTTCAATTTAAAAGCAGATCTATATGATTCCCAAACTCCTATGTCTTTACATCATCCAACACTTCCTCCAAATATTACTTACGTGAACAAAGTTGAATTTGAAGTAAAAGCATTCAAAGACTCAGGTGCATTCACATTTCTATCAGAGTCATTTAGAAGGCTCAGGCAGCATTTTAGAGAGCACACCACTTCTCCCCTAGCAAATGCTTTCCTATAATCCCAAATCTAGAAACAGAAAGAACCTGAAAGATCATTCAAACTCATTTCCTCTGAGGACACAGGACCCCAGGGAAGAAACATGGCTTCTATCAGGAGCTCTAGGAGCCCAGCTGTCTTGGGAAGCTGCCTGAGTGCCAGGAAGGTCTCTCTTCCAGCAGGATAGAGCTCTACTCAGCGGCCCCACACTTTGAGCTAAATCCCCAGGAGTGGAGACATCTGCCTTCTGCAAGCACTGTCAGGACCAATGCAGCCCTCCAGCCCTACACTTTGATCTTTGTCACCATAGGATGTCAAAGCCAAGTCTCCATTATCACCAAGATTCTAGTCCCACACTCACTCCCTCATTCCTTCCATAGACATTCCCCACCCTATGTGAACACACCTTCCCACTCTCTGTGTTCCCTAAGTCTCACCATCGTTAGCTCCTCCTCTTCTCCTCCACGGGTTGTCTTCCTTCACTCTGTTGCTTTAACTGTGTCCTGATCACACTTTCTGCTGCAGCCCTCCAAGCAGAAGTTGCTTTATTTTTCATATGCCAAGCCATTAAGAGCCTACAAAAGGAATAATCCTACTTAACTTTCCTTGCTAATAGTCAGATAATATCTCCTTCATTTTCCCAGCACACAGTGGAACCTACCTGCAGTCTCCCTCACTCCTGCCATCCCTCCATCTCAGTAGGAGCCTGTGGACTTTGGCTTCCTGCTCCTGTCCAGCTCTGCCCTGGGTTCCTTTCCTTCCATTTCCTCAAGGACTTTGCCTCCAATTTCCCCCTGTCCTTCCTGTATGAGCTCATCTCTTTCTTCTGGATCCTTATTATTGGTACTTCAACAAACAGACTATAGGACCCTATATTTACATCAAATACTCCCTTGACTGCAGGCCACACCTCTCTGATTATTACAAAATGATTGAAGTTACTAGAATCACCCACTTTACCGTATATTCTTAACTCTCCCAGGTCTCACTTCCGCTTTCCTAAAATTGCTCCAGTCAAGGTCACTGATGACTTCCACTTTGCCAAGTCCAGGGAGTCTCACTGTTTTCTTTAACCTTCAAGTTGCTTTTGTCTCTTGGCTCTGAAACTTTGCCCTCTTCTGTTTTTTTTTTCTTTCAATGCTGGATTTTTTTCTCCTTTATTAATTCCTTCTTCTTGCCCAGTCATGTAATACCTTCTCTATTTATACTTACTACCTTGGTGATCTCTTTGGTCCCATAAATTTGAATATGAGAGTTTGGACTCCAAAATTTACCTCTTTGGCCAAGATTTCTCCCTGAATGACAGGATCCCTTCCATATAAAGGCGTTCATTGACATTGTGAAAATCAAACAAACAAACAAATAAAAAAGCTAGGTAGTTTTGAAGGAGGCCATCTCATGCAAGTATCCCTGATAATACAAACTATCACACAAGACTCTGCCAGAACCACAAATTTGCACAAAAACCACTACACTCTTCCACAAAAAAATATATCTGTGAGGATGCAACTGCCTGTCCAACCCGAGACTGATGCCACTCTTGTCATTAATCCTTGTATCCAAACAGAACTGCTTCAAAATTGTTTATTTTTTTCATGTGACCTTTGAACCCTGTCATCTCAAATTTTTCATGCAATTTTTGAAAACCCCTTCTCCTTGAGTCTCTTTGGATATGCCCACCTGTATTCCCATTGCAATGTTCATCCCCAAACATAGTCATTATCTTTGGAGAATTTCTCTGTTTCTTAGGTGGACAGCATTACAAAGTTAACATCTTCAAAACAGAAATTTTATGCTTTGGGACTCAATAGAGATATTGATTGCATAACACTGTGAATGTACTCATTGTCATTAAATTGCTCCCTTTAAAATAGTTAATTCTCCTTGCCTGATTCCACCCTCTGTATCTAACAAAGATAATCACTTTAAGGTAGATAATGATGAAAATGAGACCCAGTTATCATTAAGAACAGTCAGATTCTGGGCTGGTGCAAAAGATGAACTGCATTTTGTAGAAGCACGGGCAATAAATCCAAAGGCAAGCCCATTAAAGTGACACTGGCAACTTTGAAGATGTCTCTATACCCAGTGGCTTCCCTTAGGGGACACTGAAATTACAGCTGCTGTCTTCAGGTTGAAGTGCAGTTCAGGGCCTGTGCGTATTGTGGGTGGCATGTAGTGGCTGTGGAGGACTGCAGAGGAGAACATGAGGAGGGGGAGGCTGTGGGACTCTCCGGAGCACCTGAAAGCGATCTGCCCCTGGAAGCGGCAGCAAGTTTGCACCAAAAGAAGTAAAACTTCCTGATGCTATTGATGATAAAAATGATGAGGAAATGAAGGGAAAGCTCCTGTGAGGAAGTTTATATGAAATACTCCAGTGAAAATTTCACAAAAAGTAAGCCAGACTGGGGAAGACTTAAAACTATCAACATCAAGATGAAAGAAGGCCAAGAATCCTTTTAAAAAGCAGAAAAAAGCTCTTCTAAAACACCAAAAGGACCTAGTTCTATAGACAACATTAAAGCAAAAGTATGAGCAAGTATAGAAAAATATAGTTCTCTTTCCAAAGCAAAAGCTAAGTTCACCAATTCTGTGAAGAATTGCTTCCAGATATCTGACCAGGAGACTACTCAAGATCTCTGGCACTGGAAGAAGTTGCTTCATGACAGGAGTTAAAATAATCTATTAAAATTTTTCTTTATTTCATCTCTGCAAGTGTTGCTGTATGGCTGCCCTTTAATATAAATTGAGAACTTTCCCTATCCATGTATGATAAATGTTGTCCAGGTGCCATTGCCAAGATTGTGTCATCCAGAATGCCCATCTAGTTTTCAGAGATGGAACTCCACCCTCTGCTTTGTCTTAAATATGTATGGGATGTTATTATGGGACATCATGGTAGTGGTGGTCAGACATGGAGATGGCAAACACTTTCGCCTCTATCTGAAGTTCCTCTTCAACCCCTACAGGTCTCTGTCTCTGCTGAGGCCAGCTTGTTACACATGCTAGCATTTGCCCTGCAGCTTTATGTGATTTCCCCACCTCTCATCTTGCCTTTCTGTGCTATCGTCTCTGCACAGCTGTCAAATGAATACTTTAAAAATGTAAATCAAGCTGAATATGACAGCACAGGCCTGTGATTCCAACATTCAAGGAGGCCAAGGCCAAGGAGGATTACAAGTTGAAGCTCAGTAGGGGCAACTTGGACCCTTA